TTAGACAGAGTTAGAGGCCATCAAAAAGATAGTAAAAGAATTCACATTGACACAGAAGAAACTAAATTTTCCTTATTTGCAGCTGATATAATTCTATAAATAGAAAGCCACAAAGAGTCAATTAAAATTTGCTAGAACTACTGGAAAAAATTGGTAGAATAACCTATTCTATAAGTCCAACATACAATATACAATCCAACAGATAACATTAACATCCCATCCAACTGTAATCAGTTGGATTCTTGCACTTTTTGTCTTTTTTGGATTCTTGAATAATAAAGAAGTTAACACCAAAAAAAGATATTAAAAGAATAATACCATTTACAATAAATACCCAAAACATAAAATATGTCGGAATAAATCTTACCAAGGAAACAAAATATTTATACAAGAAAATGAAAGACACTTCAACAAGAAACCAAAAGAGACTTCCCTAAATGGAACAATCTACCATGTTCCTGGATACGTAGATTAATTATAGTGAAGATTTATGAAAAACACTTTATGAATTAAATTCAATTAGTTCCAAATTGCAGCATGATTCTTAAAATAAATATAAAAAGTAATCAATTTTATATGGAAAGAAACCCAAAATAAATAAAGTACTATTTTAAAAAAATTAATTAGGAGGCCTTTCAGACTTTAAAACCTACTATAGCTATGGTAATCAAAACAGCTTGGTACTGGTTCAACAATAGACATAAAGACCAATGGATTAGAATTCAGAACGCAGAAATACAACCAAGTACCTACAGACACCTGATTTTGATAGAGGACTAAAACACATTATGTGGTGCTGGAAAAATCAGGTCGCCACCTGAAAAGAATGATACAGTACTCATACCTCACACCACGTAAGAAACAAATTCAAGATAATATAATCCATAGAACTATAAAAACCATCAATGAAAAACAGGGACAAACTTAGGGGCCCCAATACAAGTCATAAATACACTTATGGACATAATGAAAAACATTCTCAATATAGAAGATGAAATAAAGTACTGGGGCCTTCTAAAATATAGCATTTATGCACATAAAAAGGCTTCATCAAAAGAATTAAAAGAGAGCACACAGACTGGTAAAATCAGGAAAGGTGTGCATTAGGGTTGACTTTTTTAGCCATGCTTATTTAATCTGTGTGCTCAGCAAATAAGCAGAGCGGCTGGATTATATGAAGAAGAATGTTGCATTGAGATTGGAGGAAGGCTCATTAACAACCGGTGATATGTAGATAACAGATCTTGTTTACTGAAAGTGAAGCAGACTTGAAGTACTTGCTGAGGAATATCAAGGATTGCCGTCTTCAGTAGGGATCACAACCCAACGTAAAGAAGAACAAAATCCTCACAACTGACCAGTAGGTAACATTATGATAAGTGGAGAAAAGATTGAAGTTGTGAAGGAGTTTGTCTTTGCTTAGATCCACAATCAATGCTCATGGAAGGAGCAGTCAAGAGAAAAGAAGCATAATACAGAGTAAATCTGCTGCAAAAGTTTTCTTGAAAGTGTTGAAAAACAAGGATGTCAAGGTGAAGACAAAGATATGCCTGATCCAAGTGGTGGTATTTTCTATTGCATCATATGCGTGTGAAAGTTGGACACTGAATATAGAAGAAGAATTGATGCATTTGAATTAATGAAAATAATATTGAAAGTACCACGGAATGTCAGAAGAACAAAACAATCCATCTTGGAAGTAGGGCTAGAAAGCCTCTTAGAGGCAAGAATGGTAAGATTTTTTAAAAATCATTTTTTAGGGGCTCACAACTCTTATCACAATCCATACATACATCAATTGTGTAAAGCACATTTGTACATTCATTGCCCTCATCATTTTCAAAACATTTGCTCTCCACTTAAGCCCCTGGCATCAGCTCCTCATTTTTCCCCCCTCACTCCCCACTCCCTCCACCCTCATGAACTTGATAATTTATAAATTATTTTGTCATATCTTACACTGTCTGGCATCTCCCTTCACCTACTTTTCTGTTGTCCATCCCCCAGGGAGGAGGTTCTATGTAGATCCTTTTAATCAGTTCCCCCTTTCACTCCACCCTCCCGGTATCACCATTTTCACCACTGGTCCTGAAGGAATCATCCACCCTGGATTCCCTGGGTTTCCAGTTCCTATTTGTACCAGTGTACATCCTCTGGTCTAGCCAGATTTGTAAGGTAGAATTGAGATCATGATAATAGGAGTGGAAGAAGCATTTAGTAACTAGAGGAAAGTTGTATGTTTCATCATTGCTACACTGCACCCTGACTGGCTCGGCTCCTTCCTGCGACCCTCCATAAGAGATGTCTAATTGCCTACCGATGGGTTTTGGGTCTCCACTCTGCACTCCCCCTCATTCGCAGTGATATGATTTTTTTGTTCTGATGATGCCTGATACCTGATCCCTTGGACACCTCGTGATCACACAGGCTTCTTCCATGTGGGCTTTGTTGCTTCTGAGCTAGATGGCCGCTTGTTTACCTTCAAGCCTTTAAGACCCCTGATGCTATATCTTTTGATAGCCGGGCACCATCAGCTTTCTTCACCACATTTGCTTATGCACCCATTTGTCTTCAGTGATCTTGTCGGGAAGGTGAGCATCATGGAATGCCAGTTTAATAGAACAAAGTATTCTTGCATTGAGGGAGTACTTGAGTGGAGGCCCAATGTCCAAGGAATGGTACGATTTTATCTCATGTCCTCTGGACATATTGTCAAGAGAGACCAGAGAAGGTCATCATACTTGGTAAAGCAGAGGGGCAGCGAAAAAGAGGAAGACCTTTACAATATAGATTGACAGAGTGGCTTCAACAATAGGTTTAAACATAAGGACAATTGTTAGGCTGTACAGCGTTTCTATTGTGTGTAGGGTTGCTATGGACTGAACTGACTCGATGGCTCCTAACAACAATGAACAATAGCAACATCATGGTCCTAATAATTTCAGTAACCCACATCAAGCAAAGTTATTTATTACCTGGTACAAAAAGAATCCCTCCCCAAACCTCCTTTTTGGATCCTTTTCTGTGCAGCCGGCTGCTATTGGATGGAGTACTAATATCTTGGCTGGGAAATCCCCTAATGCAAATAAACGGATATCTCTCAGGTTGACTCCAGGTTGGTTATTTGGTCTCTCAGCAGACCTAAGTAGAGGGACTCTCTCTTTTGGACTTGAGCCCAAACACTCACCTTCTTTCTTGTTCTCAGACATGCCACTTTTATCCTTGACTCAATATATTTGCGTTTACTGCTTCTTTATTCTGACTTTTCCATGGCTAATCCCCTCCAGTCATGCAGATCTCATGTGCCACTTTGGGAGACTCTTTCAGGTCACCGTAGATAAAGTTGACCAATGTCCCTCAGTTGTTCTCTAACACCCTTTTTAATTTTACTCATAGCACTTTGGTCAGTGTATTTGCTTACTTGTTCATTATATCTCTCCACTCAAATAGAGTCTCCATTGGAATAGGCATCCTGTCCATTATATTACTCTCTATACCCAGAATATCTTATAGAGTTCATGGTACATAGTAGGTGATCCATTAGTAGTTATGTATGCACAGCAATAAACCTTGAAAGAATCTATAACAAACAATAATAATAATTACCTCTGAGTGGGAAATTGTTATTTGTTATAAAGTCAATTCTGACTCATGGCAAGCCCATGTATGTGGAGCAGAACTGCTCCATAGGATTTTAAAGGGTGTGTCCCTTTGTGTTCAGATGGTCAGACTTGTTTTCTGAGGCGCCTCTGGGTGGGTTCAAACGTCCAGCCTGTAAACTAGTAGTGAAGTGCTTAACCATTTGTACTGTCCAAATACTCCATTGGTGGAATCACTTTGCCATCAAGTTAATTCAGACTCATTGAAGCCCTACAAAACAGACTAGAACTGCCCCACAGGGTTCACAAAGCCATACTCTTTGTTACAAGAAGTGGCTGGTCGATTTGAACTGCCAACCTTTTCCATGATTCAAGCTCTTAATTACTGTACCACCAATGCTTCTTGATTGGGGAGTAACCCAAACCAAATTCACTGCATTGAGTCAATGCCAAATCATAGGGACCTTATAGGAAAGGGTAGAATTGCCTCTGTGGGTTTCTGAGACTGTAACTCTTCATAGGTGTAGGAAACCTCACCTTTCCCAGGTGGAGTGGCTGGCGCTTTTAAACTACTGCAGTTAGTAGCTTGACGCATAACCCACTACACCACCCAGGCTTCCTTGAATAGGGAGCAGGAGAGGTAAAATCATGACTTGACTTTCACTTTCTACCAAGGTGTTTTAGTTAGTCTTAAGTAATTTGAAATACTTACTCTAAAGATTAGAAATGTTTAAAAACATATTTAGACTAGGAAAGTAGTTGATAAAATGTTTTGATCCTTAAAATAAGCTTTATTATCTGGAAGGTTTATATGGAATAATTTCTTCCTTGAAGATATTCAATAAGTCATGTATTGTTATAAAAAGTAAAACATCTATCAGTTTGGAGAAGCACTGAAACATGAAGCAGCAGGAACATTTCACCTAGTTTTCTTTCCTTTGAACTTGAACACCGTATCTTTCTGGTACAGCATTTAAATTGATTTCTTCTCCCAAAGGTAAGAAGATCAAATTAGCTTGATAAATAATTTATACTTATTTAAACTATATTACAGTTTACACATGTATTGGATATATTCATCCTGAGCAGGTTTTTTTCTTTCTTTAGATACACTAAACTTGCAATACTAAGTGTTGTTCCCAGGTCTGAATGTTAACAGCATATGTTTGAGAGACCTTCAACTTACCAAGTATTGCAGTTCTGTGATTTGTTTTGGAACCTCTTCTGACATCTGTGGACTTAGTTCAAGGACAGTTTATAGCACTTTTTTTTCCTAATAGGATGAACAAATGGTTAATTGTTTGCTTCGGTCACTCAAGTTCAAGTTAATGGATCAGGGTTCGATATAAAAACTCCAACTGGAGTGTCTGTTCAGCCACATTCTTGCTTTTCTAACCATAGATTCTCCTCCCTAGGGATTTTGCCCTGTATCTTCAAAATGATGGCAATCTCACTAACCTGGGGAATTGTTGTAGTAGTGTGCTGTTGTTTATGGCTTTTCCTGGGAATAAGGAGAAGGTAAGGAAAGTTTTATCTTTACATTGTTTTTTAGTTCATCTATTTAACGTTATTTTACTTATATTGTTATATAGTAACTTTGGTTTTTCTGTCCTTCGTTAAATTTTCAAGGGGATATTTTAAAATTATATGCATATATAACTATTGATCCATACTAATGATAGTGTATAAACATTATTGACAGAAACCTTAAGAGAACTCTGTGTATGTTTATGTGTATATATTTTTAAAATCTGAATTAGTTAGGATGCAATTGGCAAGTGAGAATCTGCAGTGGAAAGGGTTTCTTCCTATCATGTGAGTAAAATAGATGTTCTGACTTGTTAGATGTCTTCTTTTCTGCTATTTTTGTAGTTCTTTGTTTAGAGTCAGTCTTTCTGGACCAACTGTGTAGCCTGTATTGATTATTCCATTACTCTCCTCTTATTCATGCTAATCAATCTTGGTGGACCGGCAGACTTTTCTAAGTATATGTGACATCTCATTTATTGGTATGCATCATTTATTCATAGTTTATTTATAATTGCTTCAAGAATACAAGACATACAAAGGGAGTCAAAGCCATTTGTTTAACATGGCGTCTACACTGAGAGCAAGAATATTCTTATTTGTATCTTCATCATCCAGGAAAAGTTATTAGCATTTAGTAGGCATTCAGTAACTGTTTGTAGAATGCATGAATGAATGTATGAAGGAAGGATTTGCCATCATTTTCACCAATTGATTATTGGGTCATTAAAGAGCTGTGATGTTACAGTGGGTCAACATTGAGCTACTAACTAAAAAGTTAGCAGTTCGAACCCACCAAGAATGATGAAGGAGAAAGAAGAGGCTGTTTCTGTAGATTTACAGCCTCAGAAATCCTATGGAACAGTTCTACTCTGTCCTGTGGGGTTGTGATGTGTCAACTGACTCAATAGCAATGGGTAGGATTTTTTTCATCATGTCATTATGCTAATATGTAATATGTACTATGCCAACATTTCAGTGAAAGAGTAAGGCATTATTAAGAAAAGAGCACCTATAAACTGTAGAGTAAACAGAAAACTAAATGTATAATTTCTTATCTATCAAATATCTGTGTTCCTCTCCCTCCCCCCAGGAAAATGGGTGAACCACCTCTGGAGAATGGGTTGATTCCATATGTGGGTTGTGCTTTGCAATTTGGTGCCAATCCTCTTGAATTTATCAGATCAAATCAAAGGAAACATGGTCATGTTTTTACCTGTAAGCTAATGGGAAAATACGTCCATTTCTTCACAAATCCCTTGTCGTATCATAAGGTATTGTGCCATGGAAAACACTTTGACTGGAGAAAGTTTCACTTCACTACTTCTGCAAAGGTAACCTGTGCTGCACGTTATGTAGCATTCTATTTGTTTCTTATATTTTTATAACTCTATTTATGTTCCTATTCTATTTTATAATTTTGATGTATTTAGATATAAGGGTAGAGATATTCAAGAGCATGGGCCTTACCTGGAGATTTTCAGAAGTCCAATAAATGAAGTTAGGCATCCGCTCTTGGTACTAATCATTCATTAAAAAAAAAAAAAAGACAAAATAGACTTTTGAGGGACACATGATAGATTTGTCATTTCTTAACCAGCTAATGAGGCTAAAGTGGAGCCAGATGGTGCTGTGCTCTATGAGTAAGACAGATACTCTATCACTTACAACCCACACAGTGGGTTTATTGGAAAATTTAGACATTCAATCATGCTGCTATGTTCATGTTACACAATCATTTAATTTGTTACAGAAATGACCCAGAATTTTGGCATCTTGTAGATGTCACTAAAGAGGCTTTGCTAGAGAGAAAACTGTTAACCAATATTTACTGATTTCCTCCAAAGAAATGTTAGCCTTGGTCCCTGTCATTAAGGAACTTAGAGCCTGGTTAAAATACATCCACAAAGAATATACAGGAGAACTAATGGTACAAACACTTAAGATTAGCACCACAGTTTATACCCACTCACTGCTATTGATTCAACTAGACTCATATCAACCCTATAGGACAGAGTAGTTTCTCCCTAGGGTTTTAAAGATTGTAAATCGATAAAGGAATAGGCTCATCTTTCTCCCAGGGAGCAAGCAGCTGGTGGGTTCAACTTCTGACCTTAGGTTAGAAGAAGCCCAGCACTTAGACCAGTGCACCACCGGGGTTTTTTTGTACCAAATTAGAATACATTCTGAAAGCATGTCATCTGTGTTTCATCAATTTACAGGTGCTGGTTGTGGTTTCATTCTTTTTTCTTCATTTGCTGCAGGTATTTGGTCACAGAAGTCTCGATCCAAGTGATGGACACACTACTGAAAACATCAACAAGACGTTCATCAAAACCCTGCAGGGTGATGCCTTGAACGCCCTCACAGGAGCCATGATGGAAAACCTCCTGCTTGTCATGAGACCTTCAACTCTTCCCAAACCCAACACGGCTGCCTGGGTGACAGAAGGCATGTATTCCTTCTGCTACCGAGTGATGTTTGAAGCTGGCTATTTAACTCTCTTTGGCAAAGATCTCACAAGGCAGGACTCGCAAAGAGCGCTGATGCTAAGTAATCTTGACAACTTCAAGGAGTTTGACAAGATCTTCCCTGCGCTGGTGGCGGGGCTTCCCATTCACGTGTTCAAGGCGGCACACAATGCCCGGGAGAAGCTGGCCGAAGACCTGAGGTCCGAGAACCTCCGCCGACGAGACCGTGTGTCCGATCTGGTTAGCATGCGCATGCTGCTCAATGACCAGCTCTCCACCTTCGACGACGCCGAAAAGGCCAAGACGCACCTCGTTGTGCTCTGGGCGTCGCAAGCCAACACCATTCCAGCGACTTTCTGGAGCTTGTTTCAAACGATCAGGTAACGGGCAGCCTCTCTATTTGTCTATTTGGATAGAATGCAGAATTTTCACCATTTGAATTGTTTTAAATGTACTCGTGGTACTGTCTCATGCTATCCATCGAGACTGTAATGTTGGCACATTCGTTCCCCCAGGTGAGTGAGCAGGTCTGACCGGTAAGACTGTTTTATCGCCACAGGGCAGCTCCAGGGAGAAGAATGGGCCGAAGCCGCAGAGGTCAGCTCTGCTGACGCTGGAGCCAGTTCAGGCCATCTGGCCCAGCCCTTTAGCTCTTATCCCTCATGACTACCAACTTAAATCCGTGAACAACCTTCCTAACTCAAAAAGAATATTTACTTGATTACTTACCACGGACAATGGACAGCATGCCTCCGCTGCCTGCCTTATTTCCTTGTGAATTTTGTACTTTGTCCTCACCCATACCCCGCCCCACTCAATTAGTAATTGTTGTCTCACGTTATTTGATCAACTATGATTTGTACTGGTCAGTCATTGTCTTTTATGATTGATAACCATTTGGCTAGATTTCACCTTTTAAAACTGTATAAGCATATAGCTTACCTAGCATGATTTATTCCCAACATGTTAATCTTTGGGGAAATTATTGTTCAAGTGGTTTATTAAAGTGTTGCAATTAAATTTGGATGCTTAAAATCACATCGACATAAAATTATTATCCCATAATATTGGGAATGCCAAGTTTCCACTGACACCTGATAATCTTATGACAGCAATATAAAAATATCTTCAAATTTAGTTTCAGAAATAAAAAAACACTAGTTGGTCTCAAATGTTAAATGTCTTCTGAAGTTCTTACTTGGGAAAACTCTGGAATAAATTCAGATACTGACTGTAAGGCTACATGATAGATTTTTGTATCATTTAGATAATATGTACTATGTTTCATAATAGTCACACTTTTCAGCCCAACATTTATGAGGCTCGATATATTGAGTAATTATGTAATATAGGTTCCTTTCCATGACTCTGATCCTCTTATGAACTTTAAGGCCCCCAAATGACTTGATTTCACAATTTAAAATGAGAGTAGAACACATTAAACTCTGAATGGAAAAGAAAGCTGTGCTATCTGAAATCATGGTGTGAATTTTTTTTTCATGGTGTGAATTTTAAGAGTAAATTAAATTTATCAATCTAGAATTTAGCTAGCTACTTATTTATCATATTTATCTTAGATGTGATACTTCATTCTAATTACTGTGCAGTTGATCAATTTGAGCATTCTGTTCTTATTAGAATAGTACATTTATAAGAGCTTGACCACAGTTTCACTTTTATGTAGAAAGGTCCAACTAAGACAACAACTCTAGCCAGTCTTCAAAACACATTATCAGAGAGAGTCAAAAGTAAATAAGAATATCATTTCTCACCTCTTTTTGTATCTGTTTTTGTTGATATTTACCATGTGCTGGCTCATGGTAACCTTATATATAACAGAATGAAATGTTGTGCAGCCTTATGCCATCTTTATCATAATTAATATACCCCATCATTAAAGGAAGTATGGAAATGATTAATGATTTGCAGACCTGTTTATATATCTGTACTTTTTTCCCTTTCTCTTAACCTTTAATAGGAGTCCTGAAGCAATGAAAGCAGCTATTGAAGAAGTGAATAAAACATTAGAGAATGCTGGTCAAAAAATTAGCTTTGAAGGCAATCCTGTCTGCCTGAACCAAATGCAGCTGAATGATATGCCAGTGCTAGGTATGCTTGCCTTTGTTTCCCTTCTTTTCCCTTCTGCCTCCACCACCAGCGCTTTCCCTGTGTACCAAGTCTTGCACACGGATGTTGTCTTACTCACTTCTCAGAACCATCTTATGGCGAGGGACTCTTCTAGTGCCTATGTTAGAAGTGAGGAAACTGATATTTAGAGGTTAAGTTATTGCAAACGGAATCAACCACAACCTTTCCCCGTGGCTCTCAATCCTACACTGTCAACTTCTGCCTTGCTCTATCTACCCTAGTCTGTCTCCCTTGTAATTATTTTCACCTGATGCCAATATTATAGTTATATATTATTCATTTTAATTAAATAAAGGGAGGAAAAGTACCATCATGGAGCCACAGTTCACTTCAGTTACCCTTGGTTGACGGAATTAAAGGGTATTTATTTTCCTTCCATTTGCTTTTCTACGTAATAGAGAAATACAGAAAAATTGTATTTTTATAGAAAGGAAGAGGCTGTTGTTATTATTTTTTTCTAAAGGAGACAAGTCACTCTAACCTTTTAGGGGCAGTGTCCTAGAAGGACAGGCTAGGCAACAAGAAACTTATGCTCCATGTCCGCCTCTCCCCTAACAACCAAAAAACCCCAAATTCACTGCCATCAGTCAATACTGACTCTTCGGGACCCACTATGGGTTTCTGGCACTGGAACTATTTACCAGAGCAGTGAGCCCAGTCTTTCTGCGGCAGAGCTGCTGGTGGTTTAGAACTGCGACCATGCAGATCACAGTAACCACTCCACCACCCAGGTGCCTTTCCCCAATGAGGGACATCTCAAATGTGTCACTTATCTTTAGGACCTTACTTTTCTCACTTGAAAACGGAAGTTATTCACAATCACATAATTAGTAGTAAACAGGATTGTTAGGGAGATAGCAGAGTGGCAGGTAAGACAGAAACTTCTTACTTCCTTTGTAAACACTAAACTATTACTAATGTACTGGTAGATTTTTGCTCAGGCAGAAAAACAACATCAGACAGCGTACTGATAAAATGAGTTCCTCTAAATATCAAATTGAAGCTACATTGAACACCCGGGAAACCTTTTTTATATAAACATGCTATCATCATTTTTTATTTCAAAAGTGATAAACTCTGATGAAGTCATCTCTAAAGGATTTATTGATACTTTCTAATGTTATTAGTTAGTAATTTCCATATAGAAATAAGATTATTATTTCATAAAATTATTGCCGTGTAACACCAATAATGACCAAGAATGTTATGTGTATCAAGTAAACTTGCAGCCATAATCTTTATCAAAATACTTCAATTAGCCTAGATTCCCAGTTTAAGAAACACATTTATACACAAATGAATCAATTATATTACATAATTATAGCCATTACTGAAAAAAACTTTTTGGAAAAATTTTCCCTGTAACCTTCTATTAGAGTCTGATCGTGGTTGTGTTGTAGGCTACTAGATGCCTTTTGGACTCTATATTATGTGGTCTTTGCATACTTGATTAACCTTTCTTGCTTTCCTTCCCTCTCTTTCTCCACCTCTCCTTCTCCACTGTTGTACCTTTCTTTCTTTAAAATATGTAGATAGCATCATCAAGGAGTCTCTAAGGCTCTCCAGCGCCTCCCTGAACATCCGGGCTGCTAAAGAGGATTTCACGTTACAAATCGAGGAGGGTTCCTTCAATATCCGCAAAGATGATTTCATAGCTTTTTATCCTCAGTTGATGCACTTCGATGCTCAAATCTATCCAGACCCGTTGGTAAGTGTCCAAGTGATGTCTACCTAGAGGAAATGTACCACTCAGTTGATTATCGTAGCCATAGGAATTATCCCTTTAATTATGTTAAATAGTTACATATTTTAGAAAATGTGTTGATAGCCTGAATTTTTAACTTTTATTCGTCTTTATCATTATTTAATCTCTGGTATATTATACTTGTAACTATGATAATAAAGCTGCCACTTTCTTTTTACTTAAAAACTACCTGCTCCCAAATCCCAAATATTGAAAAATACACTGACTCATCTAGTTTCTGATCTGAACTTTCTTCCTAATTCTGTCTAACCAAAGAACTAGTTTGCCAGCCAGGGTAGGGGACATCATAAAAATTTCCCAGCCCTTTATTTATTTATTTCATTTATTTTTTAATCATTTTATGGGGGCCTCATATAGCTCTTATCACAATCCACACATCCATCCATTGTGTCAAGCACATTTGCATATTTGTTGCCATCATCATTTTCAAAACATCTTCTTTCTACTTGAGCCCTTGGTAGCTCCTCATATTCCCCCTTCTTTCCTCACCCTCCCTCCCACATGGAGCCTTGATAATTTATAAATTATTATTATTTTTTCATGTCTTACACTGACTGATGTCTCCCTTCACCCACTTTTCTGTTGTCCGTCTCCCAGGGAGGGGGTTATATGTAGATCACTGTGACAGGTTCCTCTTTTCTCCCCCCACCTTACCCTTACCTTCCTGGTATTGCTACTCTCATTACTGATCTTGAGGGGTTTCTCTGTCCTTGATTCCCTGTGTTTCCAGCTCTTATCTGTACCCATGTACATGCTGTGGTCTAACCGGATTTGTAAGGTAGAATTGGCATCATGATAGTGGGGGAGAAAACATTAAAGATCTAGAGGAAAGTTTGTTTCATCAATGCTATACTGCACCCTGACCCAGTCCTTTATTTTTTATTAAACTCCAATCTCTTATTATTTTATGATTCAATATGGGATGTTTATTAAATTACTAATGAGTTAGATTAAAAAACAGAATTACTCTTTAGCTCTTTCATGTCAATATTATTTTCGTTAGGCTTTTATTTGGTTTGATTTTCTCCACATGAAAATTATGACCAGTCAATCTATAAATTACCTATCTATATATTCTAAACATGATTGACAGTTTCTAAGGGATGTTGGAAGAATAACAATAATGAGTATAAAAAAGAAGAAAAATACCTAAAACTGACTGTGGTATGATGGTACCAATCTTTTTTACTACATGCAAACCATTGAATTGTATGGTATGTGCATGATATTGTGAACAAAAGTGTTAAAAGAGATTGGGAGAGGGAAAAGAAAGAGAGAGATGCATTCCTTTAAAATGATCCTATGAGTGTGCTTTCTTTGTATTTTTTTGCAGACTTTTAAATATGATCGATTTCTTGATGAAAGTGGGAAAGCAAAGACCAACTTCTACAGCAATGGACATAGGTTGAAGTATTATTATATGCCCTTTGGATCAGGCGCTACAATCTGTCCTGGACGGTTATTTGCTGTCCATGAAATCAAGCAGTTTTTGATCCTGATGCTCTCCTATTTTGAACTGGGGCTCGTGGAAAGTGATGTTCAATGTCCTCCTTTGGATCAGTCCCGTGCAGGCTTGGGCATTTTACCACCATCACATGATGTTGAGTTTAAATATAAATTTAAATATTTGTAAATCTATGGTTGGAAAAAGAGGACTGTAAATCATGTTACAGGACCATAGAACACAATCTCTTGACAGCGCCTCTGGACAATTGCATTTAGTGGAGTTATGCATCCGGTCCAGTTCTGTTCCCTGATGCTTGTTCGTGGATGTTAACACGCCGGTGACAGTGTCCGCATCTCAGAATCTCACTCTGCACTACCAGAAAATAGTTTCTAGAAGCATGATCATTTAATTTTGAATTAGTGAATGAATGTTCATAGAGCTAGGTACTGAACTGTATTATTTCAGAGGGGGTAAAATCTCTCTCTCTATCCCTCTCAAAAATTAAGGTATTGCGATTTTTGCAATTCATCGACTGGCTTTTTTTTTTCCTAAGGAAACTGCTATATCATAATATAAACCACTCAACATTATTGTGAAAGATAAAAATTCACATTTTAGTGAAACTGTGCTATTTTCTTGATTATCTAGTGAGGCTCTTTAGGTGTGAACATATTACAAAAAGTACTTTAAATGAGAGTATCTTGCCTTTTAAGATATACTCTAAATAAAGTTTAGTTTTGTACCCAATATTCAAGGCTTTAAAAATGATGATGTCAATTTTCTGAAAACAAAGATTTTCCCTTTGTGTTTTAAATTATTATTGCTGTAAACTCTAATGTCTATGACAGGTTTTGACTATATGCTTCCATATTAATGAGATTTTTTAATAATTAAAAGGGAGTTTTTCTGTTATTACTAAATATACAGGAATGAAAAAAATTACTTTCATGTAATTTGTGGATTGTAAACTGGATAGAAATGACCACGAGCTTTGATTATGAGAAATGCAAAGAAAAACAGCTTGGGATTGTGTTTTATTCACTCTTTTTGTCATTAAGGAATTTGTAGTTGAAGGGAAAATAAGCCAATATTGATTCGCCTAGCCATTGTGTACCATGGACCTATGAGAAATTATTTTAAGTTTTGGAGTGATCAACCAAGACATTTTTATTAGTATTTCTCTATCTATTTATATCTGAATTATATTTATCATTTTTATATTAAAATATTGCAGCATTTGATGTTGAAATGAGTCATCTTTCAGAAATAAAAATATGAATGTGTGTGTTTTAAATATTCAGAATTTTAGAGTAGCCCCCTGCTGGTGAGCCTCAACAAGTTTCTTCCGGGTTTATGAGTCAGGAAAGCAAAATGTTTTCAACTTCTAGTCTTGTCATTTAATCGTGGACTTGTCTTTTATGAAAAGTATCTTAATACCAAGACAATGGAAATTATTTACAGGCAGTTGAAGAGTAACAAAATTCTTCATTACTGGAAATGATTACATATTAAATTTCTGTGTAGCTTTGTAAAATATTTCGTAACTTGCTGAGTGCATCCATACATTTTTCTCTGTCTTTCTTCTTAAATAGCAGAAGTTGGTCAGTTAAAAGCTGTGGCCCAACACCTTTGGGTTGAAAAACATCAAAAGAACAATGATATTTTGTGGCATGTGCACATGACATAAATTCACATCTCCATGTCCATTAGTGACGTTTTATTGGCATACAGTCAGGTCTATTTCTTTATGCCCTGCTACAGCTGCTCTTTAGAGGCAAGGGTGGCAAGACTTTGTTTTCAATACTGTGGACATGTTATTAGGAGAGTCCAGTCCCTGGAGAAGACATTGTGTTTGGTCAAGTAGAAGGGCAGCTAAGAAACGAGATAGATTGACACAGAGGCTGCATCAATGGGCTCAGGCATAGGAACAGTTGTAAAGTTAACACAGGACCGTGCGGGGGTTTCCTTCTGTTGTTCATACGGTCGCTATGTGTCAATGGCCCCGAACATCACCAACCACACAGCTGCTCTTGCTGTGCAATGGCTGGAATGAAGAGCTGCAGTCGATGCTGCGGCAGCAAAGCAACAGATATTTACATCTTGTTCTTTAAGGGGACCCACGTGGCATAGGAGCTCTGCATTGGGCTGCTAACCATAAGGTCAGAAGTTTGGGTCCACAGGCACTCTGTCCTATAGGATCATCGAGAGTTGGAACTGACCCAATGGCAGTGAGGTTGGCTTTTAGGCGGGTGAGGGTGGGATGGGGCGTTTAGTTATACAGCAATCTCAAACTTTTTTTTTTAACTTTTTCACTATAATTTTAACTTTAAAAGAAATGAACTACCATGTGAAAATGCCTTCATGTTTCAGTGCATATGGGAGACATCTTTTAAAAGCTGTATATAATTTTAATGTAAACATCATAATTTAGAACTGTATTAACACTGAACTATCTCGTATTAAAAATGAACTTTTCTTTGAAAAAGCTATCAAGCATTGTACTGCTAACTGAAAGTTCAGTAGTTTAAACCCACCAGCCTGCTTTGAGGTAGCAAAATGAGGAGATCTGTTCCCATAAAGACTTACTGCCATTTTTTAAAATTGGGAGTTAATACATATGTCATATTCATGCCGCAGTTCAATCACATCAAGCAGTATTGTACAATTGCTACCAGAATCCGTTTCCAAACATTCTTTTCCTTCCTGGACTCCTTGGCATCATCTCTCTTTTACACCCACCACCACCCCACCATTGTACCTCCCATTCCCACCCCAGAAACCCTTATTGTACTAGCTGTCCCTATAGGTTCATCAACCGTGGGTTTCATCTACCCAAACCCAGAAAAACATCAAACACAAATTACACACGTGAGATATGAATAAACAAAAAGAAAATGCTGAAAACCAGACCAGGACCCTGTGCATCAGAAAGGAGATCAACTGAAAAGGTATTAACCATTCAAATTAGCATAGAGTATTAGCCTTCTAGGGATATTAATAAATATAAGTTCGGCTTACAAAAAGCATTTTTGCTGTAATAGCAAACTATGGGGAGCATTTTTATTAAAAATAATAACTTTCTGCTGAAACATTGCAAATAAAGTTTTTTTAAAGATTTACCACCTCAGAAAGCCTACATAGACTTTCTATTAATCAGAATCGGCTTGATGATGGTGGGTTTGTTTTGGGGGTATTGTAAGATCACATAGACTTAGAAAAGATACTAATATCAAAATTTGTTTGGTTTATTCTGGTCCAGGCTTAGGCTCAACACTTCACCCACAAATTCTATTTTCATCCTCCTAAGCATCTTTTGAGGTTCATATTATTACAGGGGACAAAGAAGGAACTCGAGAGAAGTTAAGTCACTGATTCCAACTCACAGCACAGACAGTAACCGAGTTGGACGTATTGGAATCCAGGTTGTTGAGACGATAGCGCCAATATTCTTCACTCTGCTGCAAGTCCAGGTGACAGATTATCTAGACTAGGGTCATGAAAAGTTAATCCACGGTAAACAAAATCAATGATGTCATTTTTGTCCTGAAATACCCTCTTTGGGGCCATTGGCAAGCCAGAGAGTGAGGAACTGCAATCCCCATCCTCCGCAGACACCGGGACACGGGGAAAGAGGCTGTGGACACTCAGCTTGCAATTTATGGCCCCTGGAAGGGGTTACTGAATAGTCAAACGTGCATTACAATATTGCAACCTTAGATGATGTTGTTCCTCATACAAATATATCTCTTATTCACTTACAGTGTGGAGCTGTCAATTGTACGACCTTCTATTCCTCTTAGGATTCTCGCGATACATTTGGAGGTTGTTGACATTAGGGTTTCAGCCTCAGTTTCATTAACAGATCATGGAATAATGTTTCTCACCTCCTTTTCATATCACCTGGGTGGCCCTAATGTAGGGGCTTGGACCTAGAAGGTTACAGTAAACAGCAACACTGATGCTTCATAGAGCATTGTGGTCCCTTGGGAGTGGGGTACTAGAGAGACAAATCGTGAAGACGGAGAGTGGGTGCTTGTTTGACCGCTGCCTCATGGTAGTGTTTCTTCTTGGGCTAGCCAGAGGTCAGATTTGTCCTTGCGGTTTACTGGATTGTTTTCTGGGAAGAACATGTGAAGTTAAAGTTTTGATTCTTCTCTTCGGTTATTGTCTTTGAGTATTCCTTTTTGAACTGGCAAAAATGAAAGTGATAAATGTAAATTTTGAGCTCAGGGGTTGAAATCGTACATTGAATTTCTCAAAGACCATGCTGCTTAGTGAAAACAGCGGACAGAAGGTCAAAATGGCGGACAGAAGGCCTGCCCCTGGTTTGAGGCAATGCAGTTGGAGACCTAAGGCCATATTTTGTATCAATGGAGTAGTTTAGATAAGGATTAAGATAAATTAGATAAGGATAGAATTTTATTGTTTTAAGATTGATTTAAGATTGTTTTTGATTGTTTTAAGATCTGGCTCTACTAGGATTATACTGTTTTCTTCTGCCTATTGTTATTTATATAAGGACTGATAGAAATGATTATTGGGAAGTAAAACTAGAGAGTTTGTAAGATTACTTGTCTTCGGCCATTAAATTGGAATTTAAGTGGGTTAGGACATGCCTGCAAAGAAGGCTCTAAAAGGATAATCCCCACTCAGTGTCTTGAGTGCTCAGGGCAGTCAACGGTGAAGAGATTTGCCTTGGGAGCTGTTGACAGATTGAAGAAAAAAGGTACTCTTTGACTTTTTGAATTTTGAACTAGTGGTTTGTGCTAGAGGCTGGAAACATTTGGAACATGGAAGGGACTCTCTACTTCAGGACTGAACTGTTAAAGGGAGCCTCTGGTCAGGCCGAAGTACTTCCTATATGACCCCCTGGATCCACTTGTTGAATGGAAATGAGAGTAGTGCAGCAATAAAGAGACAGCTTGAGTCTGGCCACTGACACCCATGGACCTGGTTCACAAGGACTAGTGGGGAAAAGGAGAATGAGAATGGGTTGACTGGTCTGAAGTTCATGACCTAGCACAAGGGGGCTAGGGTTATTGAGAATTTGTGATGGGGCCATGGTCTAAAGGCAAGGCAGCCAATGGGCACCCTGGTGAAGCTAAGTGAGGTAGCCCGCATTGAGTTGATCAGAACCCGACCAGCTGAAGAGAAGATTTTTGAGTCTGTGAGCTGGTGCACATTGCTGTTGCTGACTTCATGGATGGCCTGTCCGGATTTGACTTTGCTTATGGATGCAGACTTCACAAGGTTCCAACTGGAATGAAGATTCTTCACATCAAAGATTAGGGTTGTTTCCTCTGAGCACTGGGCTGATGTAAAGTGGCAGTATAGAAATTGGATACCCAAAATGGGGCAGATAAAGGCATGACGTGGCTGGCTGACAAACTTACATAGGTGGGGAAATATATTCATAGGATTATGATGTAGGTGTTCACTTAACTGCGATTGTTAGGCATAGCATATTTTTGTTTTGTTCACTTATAGAACGTTATGTTTAAATGAGGGTGGCACTTTTAAAATTGTATATATTTTAGTTTTAGTCTTATTAGGTAAAGATATGACTTTTTATTGTTTTGTTTAAAAATTATATGTGACTACAGAATTGTGTAAAAGTGTCAAGTTGACAAGGGGTGGTCTGTGGCAGTTACATAATTTGTTGTCAATTTGAGACTATTAAGAGTGAGGGGTGGAGTCTAGCTTGTCAATCAGGTTGCACCTTGGTGACCTCATTAGGGGGCACCACAAAGATAAATAGCTCACTGGAGCCCAGGCACTCACTTGCTCTCTGCTACACATTCCTGATGACAAACCACATTGAGTTACGCTGATGGAACGAGAGCCCTGGAGCTGACGGAGCCATGTAGAGACCCACACCAGCACTGAGATTCTTCCACTGTCACTGGATCTGCAAGACTTTCTACCCACTGGGCTGTGATCTTCCTGCATTCAGCATTATTGCATGTGTTGCAAGAGTCCAAAGAGGAGTTTATAGACTGATATCTGACATATGGGCTAATATTGGATTTATGGACTTGATCTGGACAGGATGCAATGTTTTCTCAATATATGATTACTCTTTGATATAAAACTCACTCTTACCTACACATAAGTGTCTCTGGATTTGTTTCTCTAGTCAACCCAGATTAGCACATAAATGATTCAAAGTATCTCATTTTAGTTAGAAAAATGACATTAGAGAGGGTTGCACAGCAAGTAAAAGGAGAGGCTTGGGTCG